GCTCCAAATGCATAAGAAACCTCTACTTAGACACATCAAAATCTGACCTAGGTTTTAGTGCAAGTGGTTATTTATTGCCACTTAAGAATAATCGCACAGTATTAACAATAATAGCTACGCTTAGCATTTTAATCTCAAACTTTGGAATCTGAACCTACTCATTTTTCCAGGATTTATCATATTTTTATTTATTTTTTCGCAGCACCTTTCCGGTACGCGCTTTTACATAGCCAGTATCAGTTCTTGCACCAGTTCTTAGTATTATAACTTGAAACTTGTTTTACAAGTCCTATGTATTATTCTAGTGCCATATACACACTTTTTATAATTTTTCGGGATACTTCATCGATAGGCATTTATACCGAGTAGCATAACCGTTCTCTGCACTTTTCGTCAGAAAAGTGACTTTCAACATTATTAATCACTTACCATAATTAATTAAGCCTTATCAAAATTATTAGGGTCAATTATGGAATTATTTTCTAATTTCACATAATTAATTAATTAACTTCCTTAATTAACGGTGTGGGTTCTTACACCTTGTGTGGAACGCAAAGCAGATGAGGAGTATGCATTATGCAAGGAAACCATCTTGCAACATACAAGTATAAGGAAACCATCTTATACCCTCTTATGCCTCACAAAAGGGACTATATCTTGTATGGAACACAAAGCAAATGCATACAATGCATTATATCACAATATAATGCAATTATATACACCACATAAAACTACACTCCCTCAAAGATTGGTGGAACAGAAAAAAGATAAATTTTAAGATCCAAAAGCTTACCTCTTGAAGCTTCCACTCAATTGCTTACTTCAAGCACAAGTAACTCCACATAGTAAAGATTTACTTGAAATATCAACAACCAAAAACATGCTACAATCGACAAGTAATTCAAGGTGAAGAATTCTATCGATTATACATTATAATTCGATTGCAAGCTAATAACACACATCATCAAATTCAACACTTGATGACTTACCTATACTTGAAATAATTTAAGATTCAATGCCAAGGTCAATTGGCTCATCCAATGATTGATCTCTCGCCACTTGTCCACTTGGTTCAATCTTATCATTTAAATGGACACATTCGTCATCAACATTTCCAATTACATGCCTTGGAACACAAGTAATCCCAACACTTTAGGCATGCAAATTTTCAAAAATATAAAAGATGATCAAAATGGTTACTTTAACATATTTTCACAATTCATTTAGCTTCCTAACCATTCTTCCCTCCAAAAACTAAGCCTATTTCATGCTCCAACACCATCATTTTAAGTCACATTTTTCAAAGAAACATAAGAATATCAATATCCATAAAACTCAATGAAGTTTAGAGCTCTTACCATAAATCGTTTCCAAATGATCCTAGGAATGCTTTTCAACCTTCAAATGAAGCAAAGCACCACTCCTTCACCATGAACTTCTAAGAAAGTTTCCACTTTCCATGGAGAATATCTCCTCACACAATGACTTTCACAAGGGTTTCTTTGTTGGGTTTTAATCACCAAGTCATTCCTAACATTTTTTATGAACGAGTCAAGAGGTTTTGATGGCTAGAAATCAAAGTGCCAAACCACGCTTCTCTAAAAGGGTGGTCACTATTTTGAGAGGGAAGTAGAGCGAGGAACATGAGTTCTAAGTGACTAAAATGAGGTTTTAATCTCACTTATGTGAATCTTTGACTTGGTCAAAGTTCTATACATAGTAAATTACTATTTTACCCCTTAATTAACTTTTTACTAATTCATGCTGTGATCATTTAATCATGATTTTAACATTCGCCAATGTCATTTAATAATGTCTCACCACATTATTTCTAAGTTTCGGGCAACTTTGCGTAATTGCATATTTGCCCAAAACTTTCATTATATGCACGTTTGTCCAAAAGTGCCTTTAATTCTCATAATTAAATCTCTTATCTAATTAACCCCTCTTAATCATAATTTAATTCTTAATCTAGTTCCAAATTAATAATTCACAGTTGATGGTTATTATAACACGCACATAAAAGTGTATGGGGTTTATTTTCTTCTTTCTCTTTCTTCTCTTTGTTTGGACCCAATACACTTTATGTATGTATAAGAGATAACTATATCTCTTATAACATGAGAAATTGTAAACTTATATATATATATATATATATGGGGTAGATCAATTTACACTAGTGTAAAAATAACAAGTCTTACACCAAATCTTTTACGGGAAAAATATTTCTCCAGCCGGTTGAGATAAGTTTATTTTCAACCACCCCAAAACTATGTCGTTTTGAGATTGAAAATTATATAAAAAAATTATAAAATTTAAAGTTTTGAATAGAACAACAACTATCCCCCATTTTTCTCCTTTAATTTGGTTGGTCCCTCTTCTTCTCTTCGTCGATTTCCTACTTTGTTTTTCCCCTCTACCACCAGTGGTTCTTCTCCTTTGTTGTTGGTCGCTCTTCCCCTGAATTGTTTTCCCTCTTAGTTCTTCTCCTTCGTGTTGGTGGTTCTTCTCCTTTATCACTGGACTCTCTTCCCTTACAAAGATCAAGTTACTTTGAAACCCAATTTTTTCCACATACCTGTGAACGATTCTACCATTGATAAATGTCCAAAGAATGGGTACATGCCTTGAGAATGAAGGAGTAAGTGAAATGGTCAAGGAGGGTACTTATTTGGCATAAGCAACGAAAGAGGAAGATTACATGTTGAGGAGAATAGCTTTCGGCAAAGATTTTAAGGCAAGTGTTCCATGTAACGATTTTTGGAATAGCGACCAGCCACAAAGGGGGAAATGGGGGATAGTGGTTGTTCTATTTAAGACTTTTAATTTTAGAATAATTTTTTTTTAAAAAAAAGTTTTAACCCCAAAACGACACAGTTTTGGGTAGCTAGATATAAATTTATCTCAAGTGGCTGGAGAATTTTTTTTCCATATATATGGACAGGATCATTTGATACCAAATCTCAACCGTTAATTTTCGTCAATCTAACGATTGTAATTTATTGATAATTAATAATTAATTAATAAACGGGACCGAATAAATTATAATCGTTAGATTCACTAAATCAACGGTTAAGATTTGATGTCAAACTTTGAAATTTGACACCATATCCTAACCGTTGATTTCCGCATTTCAACGATTGTCATTTATTGGGAATCAAACTTATTAATTAATTATTAATTTTCAAAAAATGACAACCGTTGATAGGAAAAATCAACGGTTAGAATTTGGTGTCAAAGGATTATATCCCATATATATATATATATATATATATATATATATATATATATATATATATATATACAGAGATGAAGGGAAGAAAATGAAGGGAAGGGTTTTATTAATATCTTTCCTTGCTTGTGAGTTTAAAAAAATAGGGGAAGAGAATTGGGGATTTTTGAAAAATCCTCCAAAACCCTTCTCACCCTTAAAACTAAAGTTCCTTCACTTTGGGGGATTTAATGGAAAAAATATTGAAAATTACTTATCTATCCCTAGCATTAAAATGTAAAAACTATATAAATATGAATCATTTTTAATTGTGACACTATTAGAAAAGTCTTAAATACCGACAGAATTTATCGACGAAAAATATTTCGTCGAAAATAATGATGAAATTTTTGACGAAATCATATTACGTCGAAAATAGACACGAATTTTTTTTTATTGAAACTAAAGACGAAATTAGAGACGAAACAAGATTTGGTCATAATATATGACATAAATTTTTGATTGAAAAAAAATTAGGTTAAACTTGATAGAATCTATATTTTGTCGAAACTTTCGATGGAAACATTTTTGTCCAAATTCTCAACGAAAAATATTTTCATCCAAAATTTCGACGAAACATATTTCCCTCGAAATTTTTCAACGAAAAACAATTTCGTAAAAATTTTTGATGGAAAATATTTTTGTCAAAAATTTTGATTGAATCTAAATTTAGGCGAAAGTTTCTACGAAAACATTTTCCTCAAAATTTTAGACGAAAAATATTTCCATCAAAATTTTAAACGAAACCATTTCTAACAAAACAATTTGACAAAAAATATTTTCGTCCAAATTTTCGACGGAGCACATTTCCATCGAAAAGTTTTTACCGAAAACATTTTCGTCCAAATTTTTGACAAAAAACATTTTTGACGAAAAGTATTCAGATGGAAAAATATTTTTCATCTTTTGCAACATAAAAATTCGTCGAAAATATGTTCTTTTTTAGTAGTACGAAAAGTATGTAAATAATTTTGTTACAAATTTTAAATGTAATTTCATTTGTAAAATATAATAATTATATTAATTTTTTTAAAAAGGGTAAAATTGTAAAAATATCTAATTAACCTTAATTTTTTCTCTCTTACTATATTTGTAACTCCTAAACAAGGAAAGAGAATATCCTTTATTTTTCATTACTTCCTTCTCTTCCTTTGGATCTCCTTCTTTTCCTTTCCCTCAAAACTCCCAAACAAAGTAGTCAAGATTTTAACTCAAGTTCAACAGATTAATTTATTTATTTTTAATAAACTGAGGAAGTACCCCACTCAAACACCTCAACTTCGAATTAGGATATTAGAGCCAGCTTCTCATTAAAACAAATCAAATTACAAATGATTTGCGGTTGCTCCACTCATTTCCAACTTTAAGTAAATCGAATAATGGTTATATCCATATCTTTTTATTTATCTTTAATCTTATACTTTTAATGTATGTTTAATTATTTTATTTTAGGACAACAAAAATTTTAATTTTAATTTTTTTCGTTAGAGATTTTAACTAAAAGAAAACAACTTTTTAAATCATTTTAAAAAAATTTATTTTGAGATTTTTCTACACAAATCAATACTTGATTCATTCCTTGACTATTGGATACGCTCCATGCATGATTTAGTGCCATGATCTTCCCATTGATTTTTTTCAAAAGGATTAGGAAAAAGGTAGCAAACTAGTGCATAAATACATAATCAATCATTTAAATCGTTATAAAAAATCTAAATGAATTTGAAGAAAAAAAAATTGAGAGTTCCAATTAAGTAAGCCATCCAAAATCTCTTGGTTCATTCATCTTCTGGTGTTCCTCAAAGGTGATAAAAAAGAAAGAAAGTAAATTTACTTCACAAAAGTAAGTATTACATTATAAATACAATCAAACCTGAACCTCACTGTGAAATACCTGTCCTAATTTTTTTTTTTAACTCCAAAAAAGGAGCTATATATGCTGCCATGTCCAAAGGTAAAATCTATATAATCTTCTCAAAGCATTCTCCATCACCGCTTGCTATGAGAAACTGTCTGTTTCAGAAAAAAGAAAATATAGGCATTAGCAACAATACAGAAGTATCGAAATTAGCTAACACAAAAAAAAAAATTAAAAAAATACGGCAGTAATTTACGTAGTTACGGAGAATTTTCCAATCCCTGTATACTTAGAATGCTTTTTCTTTCAAAGCGTAATGCATTGAGAAAAAAAAAAGTCATAATCTCTAATAACTAATGAATATAGCAGTCATTTATCTGATTCAATTTATTGATATTGCACAATTAATAAGGTCATTGTCAACGAAAAGTAAAACTACGTTGAGAAAGATACCATAAGTATAAATGGACATAAATGTCAATTAAACGAAAGGAATTCTCATAGTATACATGAAAAACAATATATATGTGTATGTCGTCTATAGAAATTGAACTATGACTATAATTATTATTATATGAAATTTTTAAGATTTGTATACAGCAAAAAAAAATAAAAATACTACTGATTCATATTTACTACATCTGCATCATTTTATTGACGATGAGAAAATATGACATAAATAGGGAAGAGCGCACAAAACAGGTGCGTATGGTAGAGATACATAAAAAAACAAAGACAAGAAACCAAGCCCCAAGCAATAAACTGCAGGTACACAACGCTAACAAACTAGGTTTACAATTTCTTTTAGCAGCTAAAACATTTGACTAATAATACAGATAATTAAATATTGACATTAATCCTACTATTTCATGATTATTAATCAGATTTTAATGCAGTGTTAAATAAACAACTACATGAATCCAACGAAGATTTTTCCAACAGAACTCTATGCAGATTGCAGCTGTTTTGGATAAGGGCATGAGGCAGAGGATTTTATGGCAAGGGGGAGATGGGTGTTTGATCCCTACAAAAGCTAAGCCTCAAAAGTAAATAATAAATTTAATTATTTTCTTTTAGTAACATTTAATTGTTTATGACTTTATAACAAATAATTACAAGAGACAGTAATTAGTAATAACATTTCACTTTGCCTCTTTTAATATAAAATATGTAGAGGTGAAGTAATCGATGACATTTCACATTCATGCCATGGGTGTAATGACCCAAATGGGCTTTTTTTTTTTTTTTTTTACAATGTCCTACACAAATTAGTACATCTACGCCATGTTTGGGTTTATGGAGGCGAAAAAATTAAGAATGACATCTAGCGACAGCAGTTTGAGAGAAACTCCAGTTTTTACCTCATAAAAGTTGTGTTCAGTCAATTTTGGTTCCAACGGGAAATCTTATGGCTCAATGTCAATGATTTAGACAATTTTAACCAATAGGCAACCAAGAAAACACACTGAACTAGGCTTATCACACTGTTATATCCTATATAACCATACTCTTCTAAAAGCCACAATTTTCTAGATGTAGGCAGAAAATGAGTAACTGCACACAAGTGAATCTTATTACTAGTCAGTCCCAAGTGGGAAGCACACGTATGAGTGGGGAAACTTCAACCTCAGCAAACAACTCTTTTTTTTTTTCTTTTCTTTTTTCCAGAATAATGCACATATGATTGGGAACCAACATGCAGCATTCTGAAAAAGAGGATGACAGATACGAAACAATTTTTTTACCATCACAGTCCCAAGGGGAAGAACACAACTGATCAAAAGGATCTGGATCCTCTAATGTGAAAATTCACATGATCATGTAATGTGGGGAATCATAACCATATAAAGGTAGATCAATGGTAAAAAAGGAAGAGAGAAAAAAAATGATAAATAGGTAGTTACGAAATCATAACCGTTGATTTACCTTTATATGGTTGTGATCTTCCCACATGACCATATCATGTTTTTTTAGCACATTAGAGGATTCATTTCCCTTCCAATTACTTTGAGTAAGGATTCATAAAACCCCTCCTAATGTCAGTTCAGCACATCAGTTTATAAAAATTTACTCTATCGAAATACCAAAAATATCAACCATACCAAGTTCCCGTGCACTTTCCTCTAAAAGTATAAATTACATATAATTAATGAAGAAACCCATTAGAAATTCCCAATTCTAGCAAGCAAACATACAACCAAATTGATACATTACAAAAATCCACAAGCCTAAAGATTAAGCATTAGCAGCCAATAAAAACAACACATCAATCCACAGACAACATCACAGTACAGAACTATTAAGCCAGACATGTAATGGGGTCTACAGTGTACACTAACTCCAAACAGCAAATGATGAAAAACACAAACAACAACATAGAACTATTAAACTATATATAATGCACATATAATAGGAACTAACTCGAAAAAAAAAAAAAAAAAAAAAAAAGAACTCACCAGCTCCGGAAGAACGCTTGGTGCGTTTGATTTTCTGCAGCTGAACCTGCGTTTCCATGAAAAGCTGCATCCTTTGGTATTCCAAATCCTTAGCAAACTGCATCCTCTGTTTCTCCAACTCCACCATTTGCCTCTGCTTCGCTGCTTCCACTCTCTCATATATCTCTCCAAATCTCTCAATGGCCTGTGCAAGCTCTCTGCACCCAAACTCCCAATCCTTATCACTCTCCCTTTCTCTCTTCCTACTCCCAGTGCCACTGCTAGACCTCCAATCCTCCGACTCCCCGCTCTCCGCCTCGGCGGCCGCCGCCGCCGCCGCCGCGAAAGCTGAGAAATTCCGGCGAAAGGACGAATTCTCCCTGATCGCCGGCGGCCGTTTCTGAGTGCCGGATCGGGGACCGACAGGATGAGAGGATATCCACGCCAGCGGCTGTGCCTTCGCGGCGGAAGGAGTGCTCCGAGTGTTCGCCGGCGGCGAGAGCTTCTTGATCGGAAAAGTATCGCCGATGAGAGCGTCGAGGCGGGGGAAGAATGGCCACGGGCTTTGGTAACCGCCGTCGGATTCGGAAACCCTAGCCTTCTCGATCTTGTACTTCTTCTTCAGCGTGTCGATTCGGTTCTTGCACTGCACGTCGGTCCGGCGCGCTTTCTTATTGTTGTTGGTAGCGCCGCCGGAGTTGCCGCCGGCGTGGCGGTCGTTGACGGCGTCGGCGACCTCCTGCCAGTGCTTCTGGCGGAGGTTGCCGCGGTTGAGCTCGAGGTAGCGCTCGCCCCAGGCGTCGATGAGGGTGAACGTGGCGTCCTCGCTCCAACAGTCCTCCCGTCCGGGAAACGGAGACGACGACGACGGCGGTCGAGGCGGAGCGGAGGCGACGGGAGGCGGAGCTCCGACGACGGAGTCCATGAGCGGCGGAGAGATTGAGTTTTTGGACTGTGTTTCGAAAATTGAGGGCCGGTTGGTTTGGTGGGCAGACAGACAACGAGGCCTACCGAGGAACCAAACTTTGCCAATGTTACGAAGACAGTCGTTTACCATGCGGGAAAACACATTCCTTTGTTGTTGTTGTTTTTTCTTTTAAAAAAGAAAAAAAAACCTTTGCATTTTGTTATAGTTGTTTTCGGCCCGTGGGCTGAATCCAATTTGAGATGGGCCCTTCACAGGGTTTTATTGGCTTAAATTTCGTTATGTCCACTGATAAGCCGAATACGGATTTCAGTAATACAGAATTCGGATTTCGGAAGGAATCTGCCATGGTTTGAGTTTGAGAACTTGAAATTGCGGTTCGTGTTGTTGGGCTTTACATAGCGTCAGGATTCACTGGTGAACCAATACAGGCTTTTCTTGTTGTGTTTCAAGTAACATGGTTTTCGAGTGAGCAACTGATCACCCTTTATTTACTAAATTTCTTTTATATAATTTTAAATGTTTTCAATTTATACTTTTATATTTTATATAAATTTTAAAAATATCTATATAATACATGAAATACTTAAAACATATATCTCAACACGATATGCAAGATGATTAGAGTAAAGTATTTCATAATACTCAAGGAGGTAATGGTATGAATTAAAGTTCTTGAAAAAGTCACAGTAAGTGCTATCTTAGGAGAGACTGATAAAGGGTATGTAGGGGCTTGATATGCGTCTAACATATGGTGATTTCTAAGTAAAAGAAGTAAGGAATTAATCATAAATGTGTGAAAATAAGCTCATAAATGCAAGAAATACTGATTATTCCTTCTCAATCATTCTCTTGCTCAATTTATGCATTTTGATAGCAAGAAACACCAAAAAGAAGTGAAAGAGAGAAGTTGAAATTGTATAGTCTTGCGCAATAAGCTCATAAATGCGATCCGCGTGATTTTGGCAAATTACTTTCTGTTTGTACGCGCGATCCGCGCGGATTTGGCGCTGATGGCGCAGGCGTCATGAATGCAGTCCTTGATTTGTGGAGTCGCGAATTTGGCACTGATCGCGCGGGCGTCATGAATGCATTCCTTGATTTGTGGAGTTTGATGAAAATGGAAATTTAATCAAATTAATGAGAGGATTATGACCTGATTGATTGGTGGAATTATGAGAAAAATGAAAATTTAATCAGAATTAATTAGAGGATTATGACCTGATTGATTGGTGGAATTATGAGGAAAATGGAAATTTAATCAGAATTAATTCAAGGATTATGACCTGATTGAGTAACTGGCTATATAACGGAAGCATAAACTCTAAAACAAAATGATCTTTTGGCAAGGAGAAATTGGAGAGGAAGCTCTCGGTGACTGAAGATTCAAGACTTCTTCTTCTTCCGGTTCAACATTTTCATGAACTCTTTCTCATTATTTAAATTGTCAGACATGAATATGTCTGGCTAGTCTTTTAAATCGTGGTAAGGGTCACAACCCTTGATGTGAACCCCTTGTAATTTGGTTAGTTTTTACATTTAATTATTTCAATTGCATTTGTTTTACTTTGTTCTTTATCTTTAATTCTTCTAGAATTGATCACTCTATTAGGATTGCGAGGATTAGGGTTCGCAATAGGGATATTGGGATTCTAATTCTTGACAAAGGGTAAAATAACAGTTCATGTATGCACTAGGGATAGGCTATATGAACTGCAAACGTGGAAAATTCACTGGGTTAAAAGATTAACTTGAAAAGGGATTTCTAAGGAATAGGGATTTCTAAGGAATTAATAAAGTTAAGATCACTAAGGGATTAGGTTTAACTAATTAATTAATAGATGGTGAATTGTTTGATCAATTGGGTAATTAAATATAAACATTAATCAATATTACAAGGTGAGGATCGGAAAGGTGTTGGAGTCCTTTACTGCGATAGCTTTCTACATATTTTCTCAACTCTCAACTTTTGCTTTAAGTTTTCAACTTCTCTTGAATTGTTCATAAATTATTGAATAACTCACAATTGTTACAAACACCATTACTTTCAAATCAACTCTTGTTCTTCCATTCTTAAAAGGAACAATTAATTGATATTCGACCCAATCCCTGTGGAGACGATACTTTTCTTATCACTTTGTTACTTGGAACAATCGGTATACTTGTCGGTGAGCATAAATCGTAAATGTTTGAAAGTTGGTCTTTACCTTTAACCCTTCAAATTTTTAATAATAAATGTTCATTCCATAAATACGAAAAATGCTATCGTTTTACCTTCGTCCATCAAATTAGTCCACGACCTACATCATCTATCATCAAATTGTAAGTAAATTATGCTCGCTAAAATAGTTGTGTGTAGAGTATTATATTTAATTCATTCAAATTATGTATATAATACATAAAAACATAATTATATCAGTGTTTACAAACTTGGCCCGGCCATCGACTCGACCGAGGTCAGGGGGTCACGGTTCAACCGAGAGATTATGGGATCACTTCGCTGACCCGGTTTTATATATTAAAAAAATATAAATATAACTATATATTCTTTATGAAAAATTCAAAAAAATCAAACCACCAATCATTAAAGATTCAAAATATACTTAACATAATTCAACCAATTACATCCACAAGTCAATATTTACAAGTTAATCAAAGTATCAAACTATCAAAGTATAAAACACATATTCCAATGAAGTTAATAAAAAGTTATATCACCAAACTCAGACCCTTCTTGCTCTTCTCATCATCAAACCTACCCCGGTCGCAGTGTTGGGTATGGCTCATACTTCGCATGCTGATGAAGGCCCTAATTATCGGGGTCAGCAAAAAGGCAACTGGGGTCCCGCTCCTAGGTGAGCGGGCGGGGGTCCGGGGGTAGCACGCCCAGGCCAGTAGAGGCTAGGTACTGTTGTGGGCCTCTGTTTTATTGTAATTTTCTTAGCAGTTTGGGCTTGGGCCCATGAATAGCTGCTGTTAGGGTTTTGTAATCTTATTTATATTTGCTTTGTAAACCTAGAGACTTGTAACGAGTGGCGGTGAGGTGAATATAGTACAGAAGAGCTAGACGTAGCCTAAATTGGGTGAACCAGGGTAAATCGCTGTGTCTATTCTCTCTCTCTCTCTCTCTTTTTCTTTTCCGTTTTCGATTTGTGTGTTGTCGATTTCCAACATGAAGCACCGACACTTCAAAATCCCTGACGTGTCGTGTCCGACACTTTCCGACACACCGACACTCTCCGACACTTCAACAGGCGTTATAGAAATTCAAAAAAAGGTTCAAAGTTTACGTTGCATTGAGTTTTTAGTTCCAACTATTAGATTCGTTGGATTACGATTACCATTTTATTGAGTTTAATATAAATATTTGGGATATCTTATGTTTCTTTGCAAAATTGATGAATATTTTAAGTTTAGTTTTTTTTTTGTTAAATTAATAAATATTAAATATAATATACACTATATAAATTAAAAATATTATTTAATATCAAAACGTGTACTAACGTGTCGAAATCTAACATTTTTTAGAATTAATGTGTCGGAGTGTCGTGTCACGTGTCACGTGTCTCGTATCAGTATCGGTGCTACATAACATACAACAATATATGTGAAAAGAGATCCTTTACCCAATAGAGAATAACGAAGGAGAGGTGGTGACACGACAAATTGATGGTGGAGAGACAAGAATCAACATGATGGAGGAGATCACCGAAACTGGGAGATTGGGTCTGGGTTTGGGAGAGAAGATCGGAAGAGAAGAAGAAGAAGAACGACTCAGATTTTACATCTAGTTCTAAATCTAGGCAGCAACAAGTTTTTATTTTGTTTTTTTACACATCAAAGGAAGTCATTTCGTATATAATTTCTTATTTTTTAAATGCAGTGACTCTTTTGAACCGGGAGTCACAGGTTCAACCGAGGGTTTTGGGGGATAGAGGGGTCAACATGCAAGTAGGGTCTAACTACTAACTCGAACCCTCAGAAAGAGTTGGTCAGTGACCCGGAGGGGTC